ATAAGTTTTGACAGACTGATTGACTGTCTGACTAGCATGTCGACTGACTGATTAGCTAGATTCTTATAATGATCATTTAGAGTTGTTAACTGAATGATGTCTGGGATTTGAGAGATCTTGATCAAACTGCTAGTTACTTTTCTAGCATTTATAGGTTAGGATAGTGAAGAGCTTTACTATTTGGACAGAGTTGGTTTCAAACGATCTGAGTTCGGTTCCCAACACTCTAGAACCTTCCGAGAGCCATTTTTGTGAAATTCTACTAACCTTAAGATGCAAATGCGCTCAAAAATATATCTGAACATAACCAACAAAAAAAGAAGTTCAAGAAACATTTGCAGCAGTACATAGAAGGAATAAAACGTGTAGAATATTCTTCAAGCATCCTTCATTCATGCTTATACAATACATAAAAATCTATAACATGCCACATAATAAACTTCTAAAAAATATATATAAATTCTAGAGCAAACATGCATAATTCTATAGATTCAGCATGATGTATGAGAGAAATGCCATAAAACTGTATCGATATTTCTTGATGCATGGAAATTGATGCTTACATTATGAGAATACCCACATATAAACGTTGGAAGAGTAGAGGAATCAGTAGATATAAATTGTTAAGGGGAAACTTGAGGCGGATGCTGCTTCTATTGCTACATTCTCTTGATTATGAAGAGAAGGAATTTTTTATAGTTGTTTCTGTACTCGTAAAAAATATACAAAAACCCTTTAAAAATTGAGGAAATGGGAAAGAAATTTTCTTTTATTTTTTGGAGGGAAATGAAAGGAAGTTCAAGAAACGGAGCCCTTTGATATTTTGTTCTTGAATATTGAGTGGAAAATTTACTGTTCATTATTGACTAAAAAGGGATCAAAATTGGGTATTTGGAAGTTTTGTATTACAGCAATTCAATACGGATAACAAGCAGAAGCACATTTCTCTTGACGGCTCATCAAACTAAAATAAATAAGAATCAACATTTTAGTTGAAAAATCGATAGGTAATTAATTAAGCTGATGGAATCAATAGATACAGTGACACAAAAATTTCTACTGGATCTACTGACAAAATCAATAGATTGAAGAACAATTAGCAACTAATCTAAATCTGTAAACTCTTAGACAAGACTGTCTTAACACAGATTATGTTTGGAACCTTCTTGGAACCATAAATGGCATGAAAAAGCAACAAGCTTGATTTTATCCTCAACTTTATAAAATAAATATCTTATCATCTTCCTGTAACCTCTCTATCTAGAGCTATTATTCAATTTTAACAAATTTACATCCAAGAAAATAATCCACACATTTGCATCTAAGGAGATAATCCAAACCAAAGCAATTTACCTAAATTTTTAAAGTACACAAAAGTAAAGTGACGAGAAATATGTTACTTTAAGGATTTTTATCGATTGCAGAGCTTTCATCTAATCGATGTTAAACATTTATCTATTTAATTGATTAAACATGTGTCAAGGATTTTCGAGATGCTCTATCTATCTCATCGTTCTAAAATATTTCCTTAATACAATTTTCCACAATTTAAATAAGGAAAATTGAATGAAAATTTATTGATAGAAATGGCTTAAAGGAAGGAAGGAAGACTTAAGTAGTTAATGAGGTAGACATTGAATGAAATAGTAGGAGGGAAAATCAAGCAATTGAGACGAAAAATTTAAAGATTCTGTTTATTTTTCTACGCTTTGTGACTCGCAATCAGGTTTTGGGTATAAATTGGATATTTGTAAACCATGTCACAGTCATTGTACTTGTCATATCCACAGATTTCCTCATAGAAGAAATTGTCAATTTGTCACACGAAAAATGGTGAAAATGGATAGGCCAATAACTTAACTCATTCATTCTCAAATCGACCCTCAACAGCAACGTGACATCATCTATTTGCCATCCACAAAAAAAAGAATTGGTTGAAATATGACAACAATGTTCGTTGATGGTGAAAACCCACTTTGAATGTGAATAGGCTTCAGCCTCATACCGGAGATTCTTTTTCTCTCTTGCCTATTCTCAATTCATTGTGCGACATCGACAAAATTCTCAACATAATGACATTCAATTTCTCTTTAATCTCTTTTACTTCCGCATACACGCCTTCATTTTTAACATGCTTTACATCCCTATAATCCCATCTTATAACACGATTAAAATGTTAAAAAAGTTTTTTTTTTCCAATATAATTCAATTTTATTTTTATTTCAATGAGGATATACATCGAGATGTAGCGCTCTGTTGTCTTCTTATTCCATACTTTTGAACATTTTGTATTGAATTTATGGATTTTATTCTGTTTGACTTAGTTGATTGAGACTTTTCGTATGATTTGATCTAATTTTGGTTATTTAAAGGAATTTTCGGATCTCGACACACTAGATATTTGAGTTTTAGAGCCATAGTTTAAGTCAAAGGTGCAGAACTGTTCAAAAATGATCAAATTTGATTGAGGTTCAAATCTAAAATTCCAGACTGATGTTAATTTTAAGAAATCAAGATTTAAATCTTATCGAGACTTTCCTACTTGTTCCTCAATCTTCTCCTACTCGCGATTCTTTTAATCTCTCTCTTAGTTCTTCTTTTTCATTCATTATTATGTTATCTTGAAAACGATACAAAAAATTCATTTTTTACTCAAGATGAAAATTTCTTCTTCATCTTACCTTCATTCCACCTTCCTCCTTGCTTCTTCTCATCGAACATTGGCTTCTGTGGCTTTTTATTCTATCTTCTTCAATCATATGATACTTCAACATTTCTTCAAATTTATATAAATGGAAATAAGGATGAATGCATGTTTTATGCATGTGAAGATGCATAACGATACAATGTATGCTGCAGATATGAAGTCAGAAAACTTTAATTTATGTTGATTTCTTTACTTTAAGATTAAGACTACTTTAAAGTTCAAAAAGTATTTTTAAAGGCAGATCAAGGATGTTTTTGATTAATTACTGATCGAGGGAAACGCGTTTGTGACATTTAACTAGGAACTAGTAACTGATCTACAGAACTCTCATTTCTTCCTTTCTTAGTTCCAAATATAACTATAATGCTTGTCTGCGGCAATCATATCCAGAATATTCTTTTTATATCCTAGCGAATTTCAATCCTTATAAAATCCACAAAGAGTCGAGCATTAAATAAATAAAATAAATGGAAATTAAAATATGAAATTTAATAAAAACGAATAGAATTTTCACATCATATAGAATTTCATCCAGCTTTGTCCATGCAAAAAGAATTCAATATTCATGAAATTGAAAGCATCAAAGAGCTTTGAACAAAATGGAACAAAAAAAAGTTTTTAATCAATTTGATTTTCAATAGAAATTAAAACACACAAAAAAATTGGGCCAAAAAAAGAATTTTTGAAGTTATGTATGGCAACAAAAAAATAGTTTATAAAGTCATACTCAAAAAGGGGATCCAATAATTTTTATTTCTGTGGCTTCCATTGTTATTTTGACAATCCGATTAGGTAGAAATTAATAATCTGGAAAATTTACAAAAAGCTTTCATAAATAGACACAAACATTCGATGAAGAAGATGAAGAGAAGATTGTTTTTGAAGGGATAAGTAGGGCAACAAAAAAAGAACTGTATTTGAGGGTATTTTTTATCGTCCAAACTTTCTCATCTTCTCACACACTATGCGGATGAATGTAGCTGTAGATACACATTCACTGACATAATTTAAAGCTGCTTTAAAACTTTAACTGATAAAAATTATGATGAATAAAGTTTGGGGAGTCATTTGAGGTGAGGAGGATGAAGTGCACGTTGATTTTTGGTATGGAGATGTTTAAATGAAACTTTAAGTCTTTCTGGATAGGTCCTTAAACATTTCTTGTCAACATTAGGGTCTTGTTCATTATTGCAAGTGTTGACAACCAAAAGAACTCATTTTAAGTCAGTTATCAAAGATCCAGGAAAAATCTTTTAAGATCCAGCTAATTTGAATTGCACAACGACGAAAACCTGAGATCCAGTATAGCTTAAACTTCGTGACAAATCTATAAGGCTCGAGCACAGGGGCGTAGCCAGGGGGGGGGGGGGGGGGGGGGGGGGGGGCATAGGGGGCCCGGGCCCCCCCTACGAATATCTGATAACTGTTTTATTAAGTATTTATAGAGAAGAACCAGTTAATGTAGAGGAAGTGATGAAAGAAATTTCAAAATCACCACGAAAAATTAAATTTAATGTATGAATAATGAATTAAATATTTAAACTTATGAAGAATGAATATAGATTTAAGGATACAAAATAACGTTTTTTTTAATTTTCGAAAATGGGCCCCCCCTTAAAAATTTTCTGGCTACGCCCCTGTTCGAGCACCATGATGATTATTCACTTCATGCGCTGGGAAAGTGCCTAACAGTTCATTAAATCAGCCATTCAGCCATAAGGATCAAAATATCATAAAAAAAACTGATTGGCTGTTTGTGGATTCAATTTTTTTCATTATGAGAATCTTTTATGATTGAGCTTAGGAAATACCTATTTTTATAAAGTTTTTGTCATGATTAAATTCACTCATAGAGAAAAAGTTTTTCTTCTTCTTTTTTTAAGTATCTATAATTCCTTTTTGATGCATATAAGAAACTTTTGTATCATACAGCCGCAGCAACAAAAGAAGAAAGAAGAGTAAGAAAATCTTTAATATCCACATTTAAAAGTTTTCGTTCCTAATATTAAGAAGGGAAGTTGAAAATGTGTTGTTTGTGGTGAATTTCAATTACCGGTCGTTTTTTGAACTTGGAATTTCACCACAGATCATTGAATCTGGATTATTTCGTTAAGTTAAGTAATTTTCTTACAAATCCTCTCACGAAAATTTCATCCTCGATTTTATAGCATAATTAATATTAAAACTCTTGATATTACTAGTTCAGCAAATCTAAAACAATGTTATGAACCCGTCCATGATGATCTAGATCGACTATCGTCCATAAAAATCAACTTGCTGTAACAACCAAAAAATATTCAAATCGAGTCTCTCCGCTGTGTATTTTTCACAACAACAGAGTTTTTCACAGGAATTTTAAATTTGATTTTTCCAAGTTTAAATCAATTACTTAAACATGGTCGAGGCATCAGAAACGAATGGAGTTAAGCCATTCCCAATTGCGGGACGAATGGTCCGTGAACGTGAGCGATGTATTGGAATGACAGATGAAGAAAGAGCTTGGAGAAAACAATTTTTAAAGGATCAAGTTATATCCGATAAAGAGCCTCGATTTGTTGCTGAATATTGGAAGGAACGTACTAATCCTATTCGTCGACTATACAAGTTCCCATTAGACACAGTTCAGAAGGCATTGACACCGATGTTGGTGAGTTTTTCATTAATTAATGTTTATTATTATGATGATCCAGTGATGATGTAACTGATAAATATGTCCATAACTTTTAAGGGATGGCAACGAGCATACACAATTCGATTCTTCACTGGAAAGTTCGCAATGGTATTTGCTGGTATCTATGCTGGCTATTACTACATGAAATACAACTCAAATGTAAGATCCAGTTGACTTTTATGTCTTAAGCTTGTGACTTGTTTATTGACATTATTATTTACTTCCAGGATTGGACAAGAAAAGGCGGCTGGAGAGTCATTAAGAGTAGAACAGCAATTTATCCAGGCGATGAAGGATTCCCAAAACTTCCTGACCGAAGTGTACCTTCAGATTATGCCAATCGTGGCTTCAAACAGTCACCAATATAAATGTTTTTAACTGAATGGAAACTTGTAGAATAACCAAAATCACTAAATTGAAGAATAAACTTTATTTAAAAATGGGATGTTGTGCCTTAATTTATTATTTTGACTTCCTTACAGCTGGATTTTGAATTTTAGAGGGGAAAAGTAGGGGGTCAAAAACTTTTAAGTGCTGAATGTGCTTGATATTGTCTGCAATGTTTTGGAATTCAATAATGACTATTGTATTGAGCGAGTTAAATAAGATAAATGGTGAATTTGGATGAAAATCAGTACCGAGAGTTGATCAAAAACAATTTGAATAAAACCTTCGCACCCCTCAAAATACAAAATTTGAAATTTTGAAAACCGTTGATCTCAATGTTTACATTTGAAATTTCATAAATTTCGGACTCATTTAATTGAAATTTAATTTATTATAAAACTTCACAAAGTGTGCATAAAAATCTAGTTAATTTAGTGACAATTCAGTATTTGTATTTGTGAAAAGCATAAGTGTCAGCATAAGCTTAAAAATAACGATAGAATTTAAACTTTTCGTACCCAACTAGTTAATTTTCACATAGAGGTATTTTTGTACACATCTGCTGATCATTCTTGTTTGAAATTTGGAAGCTATAAGACATACGTGCGATGGTAAATTTATTGTGCAAGAAACGAATAACAAGCACATGACATAAAAAGGTATAAAAGTTGATTAAATAAGTGCTGAAATTGTGAAAACATAAATTTGATAAAAAATTTCAATGTTTACTGTTTTTTAACCAAAAAAAAATTAAAATTCATAAAAAATGCTAATTGCGCCCCAACTGATCCGATTTGAAGCTAGAGGCATAAATTAAAGTTTATAAACAGTTTATTAATTTGTGTGTCACAGGAACAGTTCAAGTGACTATAGGAAAATATCGGGAAAAGTGAAAAATGTGTATTTAATGTGAAGGAATTTTTATCAAGCATATATCCTTAGATCCTGTCCGAGGATTTTTGTGCTATTCATAAAATCAGCATCACATAGATGAGAATTATGAAATTAAAAAATAATTTTAAGATGTTTAATTCATAAATTTAAAGTTACAGTACGTTCAAAATTGATGTCTAAAACTTCAAAAACAATCATTGGCGGTAAAATTCAATGGCTAATATCTACCCGATTCAGGCATCAAATCTATAAATTTTTTATACCAAAATAATTATCAGACATCCAGCTATCAGATTTATCATTAAAATAGCATTTAACGAGGATTAATTATAAAGCATTCCCGCCAATTTCTGCCTCCTCTCACTGCTTTTTTTTTCACGATTCCATTTTTTCTTTCTTTTCTTCTCATTCCCGGCCACATTCGTAAAAGTGATAAGTCGAGAATAAAAAAATTTTAAATTAAAATCTACCCAACTTCCAGTGACAATCAATTCATAAAATTTAGTGCACGGTGTTAATTGGATTCTAAGCTATCGTATGCAATTTTAATGAACTCTGTAACTTATGTACGGACCGAATTATTCAATGTGAAAAGTCATCGTATTAGGTTCTCTTTAAAAATTTAAAGTTGTGTGTCAGCCATTTAAATGTACGGAGAGAAAACGAAGAAATAATATGAAATAAAAAAAGTTCACTAAAGCAACAACAACTAAAAAATATATAAAAAGCCTTTTGGGGGGTAATTAAAGAATAGCCAGATATAAGCGCGAGAATTTTTTGGTGAAACTTTCTAGCAAATTTCAAAATCGGATCAGAAAGAAGAAAAGAAAAATTTGGGGTGCAATTCACTGTTCTGCGTGCATATCAATATTGTGTTAACATCTTGCTTCCGGTGCCTCTTTTTATTTCGCAGTAATAACAACAAGTATAGTCCATTGAACGTGACATAATAAATTATAAATATCAATCAACCCGGCATTTACGCCGACAAATAATGGATATCCAAAAGTAAGTACTACTTCTTTAATTTTTTCGTGACGTCACTAAGTGATGATATTTTTTAAATGTCCCCCAAACCGTGTGTGAATGTGTCGTTTAAAAAACTTTTTCCTCTTCCATTCATGGATAATAAGAAAACATTAGAGTTCGAAAGACGAACGCGTATGAAAAAATTTATATATTTTTTTTTTTTGGTGTGTATGATCGCAGATTAAAATAAGCAAAAAGTTGCAAGCGTATTGAAAAATGTGAAAAAAAAGTATGAGAACTAAAAAGAAGAAAATTCTTTACATCATTTCCTCAAATGTAAACGTGTCGAATTCTTTTCTACGCTACATCGACATATTCGATCACATGGCATGACTTTTCCATTGGTGGTTAATCAAGAATATTTGCACATTTTTTGCTGGATCTTGCTTACGTTGCAAATGTGCTGTTGGCGGGAAAGTTGGGGATATGTGTCAATTTTGGGTCATAATTTCTTGAAATTTAACTGTTGAGGATTGGTTCGAGGTGTCTTAAGGATATTAAAGCAAAATGGAATCTGTAGTTTGATCCTAGGGATGTCAAGTAGGATTCGAGTGCTTATTTGCTGTTATAATCATAAAATTCAGTTTGTGATACACAAATTGTGGCTAGATATATTGCATTGATATATCCTGGGTCATACAGCTGATGCTGAGTAGTCATTATCAAGAAACCATATCAACTAGATGTTCAAAACCATTCATTAACATTAAATAGCTGCCGCCAGATCACTACAAAATTCCAAAATCATGCAATAATAATAATCAAGTCCAATAAATCCCCCAGAATCCAAAAAACTCAGTTAAATCTAATCAACGACCATACATCCCATCTCATTCGATCCAATTGAATAATTTTAAATCATCCCTTAATTGCAATTTTCTCGATCTCCTCCTCTACTTCTTCTACATCATCTTTTATCATAAGATCTATGCACAAAAAATATATTCGAACAAAAGGCATCCTACATTGATTTTCTAAGGGATCAATTCCTTTCGATTACTTTTTCTTGGAAGGGCCGAGACACAATAGAAAAATAGAGAAATTTTTTTGCCTGCATTCCATTGCATCCCTCTGTTGCACACACATATACAATTGATCTTAGATGGTGCCGATACTTTTTTCTGTAAGATTCAAATCGGTTTAAATGGCAAAAAAATAAGAAGAAGAAATGGAAAAAGACGTTACGAAGGATACTGGATATTGCCAACAGACCATTTAAAAATGGTTGTTCCTTAATTTTTTTGCTGCCAGACGAACCTTTTTTTTAACATGAAAAATTCAAGTTTTAAAAATAATCAAGCAAAACTGTAAAAAATGCAGAAATCATGGCAACAGCATGTTCTTGAGAAAATAGGATTGCAGTGCACAACATATAACATATGGCACCAATAAATAAACAACTTGATTTACAGGGATTCGGTTGCATAAATAAATTTTTCGAGTGATACTTGATGTGTAACCCTGCATGCTTGTCCTTAATGGAATGCCTGTAGGCAACAACAACAACTTGTCATGGGAAATGTTAAAATAAGCCATAAAAATTATTTTTAGGCAAATTCTTGTCAATAGAGGCTCATTTCCTTTTCCAATAGCTTACTACACGTAAGAACAGCCAAAAATGAAAATGAAGAAGATTCCAAATTAATAAATATTAAGAGAAGAAAAGAGAATCGTATTGAAGATTTCGATGCCCGAAATAGAGCAAAGAATAAAATTGCATTTGTTGTTTCAATGTAGATCACGTCCGGTTCTCCTTCTTTTTATACTTAAGTGAATAAACAGAAAATCTAGAAAAATGAATATTTTTAAGGATATATATCTTTTATCTTATTCATCCTGTCCCCCATTGTATTGTGTTTTGTGTACATTTCGAGCAAAATAAGGCAACAATCATTTGAGAGATTTTGGGATGCATGTATGTAGTTCACACGAAAAAAAAAAATACATTTATGAGAAATGGTTTTATTCCTACCTGGCAAATCTAACTGTTTTCCTGAATAAAAGCTTCTTCTGTTTCAATTTCTTTTATTCTTGTTGCTCTTTTTCAAATAATAGACGGTGACGATTGTGGGAAAATTTTAGGAGAAATTCTATCTTTCGTACTGTGATGTACTTGAGGATGACATTAGCATAGTCAAAACAACGTTTATTGAAATAACAAATTCTCAATTCTGCCGAAATTTATTGTTATTTTGCATTTCTAGTGCCCACATTTCAGTTAGAAAATTTATGCTGTTGTTGTTGTTGTTGTTGTTGGAAAAATGCAAATTCACCTCCACTTAAGCTGTTTTGCTAGGTTTAAAATGCAAAAGTGTGCATTCGCATAAAGTGTCATTTCCTGCTTGACTGAATTTTTATGATAAAATGTCTTGCATAATGAGGAATATTGTAATTGCTAGAAAGTTTTGTGATTGCTTGTTTGGCAAATTTTGAATGTTTTGGTGCTGATGACTTTAATTGAGATTCAAAGCAAATCTTTATCTTAACTTGAGGTTCGTTTTTGAATCCTAATTTTAACAAGTTCATGTTCTTTGACTCAAATGATAGCTAATCATCCTAAATGTGTAAGACCTGCTAATCTTTCCTACCTCCAAAAAGTTAATAATCTTAAGCTAGGCTTAACCAATTTGAGGATCATAATCAGATTCATTCAAAAGACTTATCTATGATTTTATTCATCTATCCTTCATTGATACATTTTCCTGCTGTTAACAAGCTAGTTTAGAGGACGTAAATGAAGCTTCTTAAAAATTTTTTAACGATCTTTTCACATATTTTAAGATTTAAGGGATCAATCATAAAGAAAACTTTTACCTGGTTTCAAATTTATTTTATCGGCAATAAATAAGTTCTAAAAATCAATGTGTTGATGCCCAACTGATATCAAACTTAATTAATTATAATTTGTCATCAATTCTATTATCAAACATTAAATTTGTCATCTCTAAAAATCCTATACCTGTCACATCCACTCTACTGTTTACTAATCATAATAAATGGACTTTTTGATTCCCATTTACTTCATAATTCCGATTAAATCCCTTACCTGACCATTCCTGTGTGCTTATTTGTACTACAAACATAAATTACTATCATCCTGTCTTCCACGAATTGGGATGTTCAAGTATCATCTT